GTTAAATATTTAATTATAATATAAATAAAATATAAAATAATTTTATATTATAATATAATATTCATTGAATATTTAGTGAATATTCAAATATTTATTTGAAATTTTTAATGAATATTCAAATATTAAAAAGATTGAACAAATGAATATTCGAATACAAATTTTTTGACCAGATCAAAACCTCTACCCAAATATTTAACAAGCTCTCCCAACAAACCTAAACTATCAACTGCAATAATTATTTTAGACCATGGTAAATACATTGGCACAATCCAAAGATCCTCAAGAAGCACTTGGTGAAATAGATTTGGTCAGAATTCCAACATTTAATAGAGGAAATCAAGACCCTGTTAAATGGTTAAAGTTGACTAGACAAGCCTTTAATGCAAACAATATCCAAGAGACAAAGCAGCTTGTAGTTGAAAGTGCTTATATTGGTCCAGCTGTATTGTAGTGGGAAAGTCAAAAACTAGAATACAATACTGGTATAATGAAATAATAAAAGTCAAAGCTTTGTGCATCAATTTCAGCAAATATTTTGTACACCAGTATTAGTTAGTAAGTAGAATATAGAATTGTTAAATCATCGTTAATACTCTGAAGAGATAGTAGAACAATATATAATTGATATGCAGTCTTGTTCAAATATGTAATTAGTACAAAAAATCAGTATTCAGAAGCAATAAAGATTCAAATGTTTATACAAGATCTTTATTATAAATTATTATCAACACTTGAATATATTATGTCTAATATATTTTACGAAGCTATTAAACAAGCCCAAATATGTAAAATGATGTTTGTACAAGGATTTGGTTTGGCTTATCAAACTGTAGTAAATACTATAACTCTATTGCAAATATCCTGGATGATTTATTCTATAAAACAAATAGAGAAAATAGAATTACTATTAGAAGAAATCCAACTAGTTACCTTGCAAAGCCAAGCTTTAGTTGACCTTAAATATAGTGGTTCAGTTAGAATCAATCTTATAGATAGTGCTCAAAATATAGCTCAAGTTGAAAAAAATAAGTATATAGCACCCGATAGTAACCAAGTATCAGTATCTAATTTATAAACTCTAATTATTATTATCAAAATAGAATTGATATTGAAAAGTATGAACTTAAGATATCTATCAGTTATTAAAAAGCTACAATGATGAATCACTCTGTTGGATTGAATGATCTTAGCTATAGTTATCAAAATAAAATAAAAATTAAAATAGGATCTAGTGCAAAAGATCATAAATCATGAGAAAGATCATTAAACTGAATCTTTTTGTATTATAAGTCTTACTCTATAAAAGCAAAGAAAAGGAAAGTATTAAAATATTATAACAAATCTGCAGAAACAGTTGATGCTAATAAGAATTATAAAAATGCTCATTGTACTCAAAATATAAAGAACATTAAGTATGATATATACAACTATCATCAAGAATTTGGCAAAAATCAGTACAAGTTATTTGGACGATATTGGTGATCCAAAAAAATCAGCAATTTGAAAGGACAATATTAAACAAAGTTTTGTTATGAG